CACCTACTGTATACTTGATATATATCAGTGGACAAGCAAGAATGATCCCTGCTTTCTTGGAGGGAGATAGACAATAATTAATACATTATAATAAATAAATTTTCTAGTGGATTAGAGGCTGAAAAATACCATGGGAAAAGAGAAAAATTCGACAGTCTAAGGTAGATGGGGCGGGACAGAGAAGGTATCTCAATTGTAAATGAAATAGACAGGGTCAGCCCCATGGAGCACAGTGGTGTGGGACAAGCCATGTGGAAACCTGGGGAAAGACCTCTCAAGCAAGGGGAACAGACTGTGCAAAGTGCTGGAGAAGGGAGTGGGCTTGATATGTCTGAGGGTGGCAAGGAGGCTGCTGATTTCGGGGCAGGGCGAGTGGAAGGGACGAGTGCTGGGAGAGGAGGGCCAGGAGGTGATGGGGACCCCCTCACGCAGGTCCCCACAGGCCACTGTGATGACTCTGGCTTTCCCACTGAGGGAAATGGGGAGCCATGGCAGGATTTTGAGCAGAAAAGAGGTTGAACTTTTAACAGGATCCCTCCCGCCTTGTGTCAAGAAGAGACTGTGGGGCGAGGAGTAAGTGGAGAGGCCTGAGAGGTGATAAAGCAAAGAGCGATGAAGCGCCCCTGACCAGTGAAGGCAGAGTGGCTGGTAAGAAGGGACCCACCGAGTCTGCGAGCGGCTTGAAGGATTTGCCAATAGGTTGGATGTGGCCTGGGAGAGGAAGGCAGCATCTCCGCGAACTGAGGAGTATGGCTACTGAACCCTCTGCCCCAACTCCACTTCCAGGGGTGGAGTCTCCTGCTCCGTTCTGCTGGAAAAATATCAAATGCCTAGTGTTCTCTGGTGTAACAGATTAAATGGCTGACAGCATGGTATAGAGGGAAGTACCTGGGGTTTTGAGTGCAAAGACATTTAACTCCTGTGTCTGCTCTTTACTCGTTGTATGACCTTGGGTGAACCGTTGAAGGCATCCTAACCTCAGCATTGTCATCTGTAAAAAGGTATAGTGAAGCCTAAATGAAATAATGTCTGCAACACACTTTGAAAACAGTAAATCGCTGGACATTTAATAGCAGTAGCTATTAGATCACGACCCAGACTACCAAGACCCAAACCAGGCAGACACCTCAAACCAGGGAGAAGGCCAAAACTGAGGCAGGGCAGTGGGTTACAGCCAGCACAAGGACAGCTGGTATCGCAAAGTGAGGAAGAAAGAGAAAGAGAGATTTGTTTTAAGGAATTGGCTCACATGATTATGGAAGTTGGCATTTTCAACATCTGCAGGGTAGGCCCTCAGGATGGAGATTAAGTTTCAGTCTGAAGGCCTTCCACTGGCTGAATTCCTTCCTGCTCTGGTGTTCAGGGAAAAGCAGTCTTTGCCTTTATCTGATTGGATGAGGCTCACCCACACTACAGAGGACAATTTGCCTTACTCAGAGTCCACTAAGTTACTTGTTAATCTCATCCAAAAAAAAATACCCTCACGGAAACAGGCAGAATATCTGACCAATATCAGGTGTTTGGTCCAGCCAACCTAACACATAATCTTAGCCATCACAGACCTTACACAAACTCTAGTATATGAAGTAGATAAGAGAGAACCCATCAGAGTTGAAGAGGGAGAGGAGGACCAGAGCCCACCAACTCTGCAGCCCCTTGTCTTCTGTGATGACCACAGAGACTCCAAAGAACCCAGTTTGTAAAACCACTGGTCTAGCTTCCATTAGGCATGGCTTCCACTCAAGACGTAAGGTAACCAAACTGCACACAGGTAGTTTACGCTAGATTCGCCATGTTATAGCTCTGGCTCAACTGCAGACTCCTTGAGTATCCAACCCGTTTGCCTCTGCAGGCCCAGCTCATAGCAATGGGCAGGCACATGGGAGGTGGACACTCAGTGTATATGCTGAATGAATGGGTGAATGGATGAATGCAGAGACAAAGACCATTCAGAATCTGGAAATCCAAACCGAGAAAGAAGTTCTACCCAAGAGGACAGAATCAGTGGCAGGGCCTCGGAACTAAAGCCTCCCTCCTCCCTGCCACAGGTGGGACCAGTGACTGAACCCTAGAGGAGGCCCCAGGTGCTGAGACGCTGCCATTTGCACCCTGACAACAAATGCAGACAAAACTCCTCCTTGGCTTTCAAACGTACCCCACAAACGTTCCTGCAGCACGCTCACTGTAGGCTGCTAGTAAAATGAGCCTGCATCCTGGGAACACGTTCACAGTGATGAGAGAAGGCAAATCGCCCAGAGAAGCTACTGCAGAAGGAGAAAAGAGACATTACCCCAGGGTGGCAGAGTCTAACAAGTGGGAGAACCAGGACTTATTTGCTGAATAAAAACCAAATGCAGGATAATTGTCAGTTTTACAGGTGTGCTTTCTTGCCAGCCACTGGTCTGAGGGTCTTGGGACACAAGGCAGGACATGTGGCCTGAAGGAAAAAGTTGTTTGTACACTGAGTGAGGCCTAGAAGCTGCCTCTGGGTGGAGGGGGGCCTCCTGATACCTGGTAATCAATCAGAGACAGTGGTTGGCATCAGCCCTGTCTCCGTCGCTGCAGTCTCCGGAGGCTGAGAAATTTCCTGCCGGCTGTCAGCACAGCTGCTCGGGGGCCCCAAGGTGCCGCAGGTATAGGGAGAAGGGGGACTGCCAGGGCAGAGGAGGAACAATAAGCAGAGGAAAAAATAATGACAAAGGAACATTTCGGCAACTCTCGTCTCCCTCTGCCTGATGTTAGGAGACCTTCCTTTAAGGAGTCTAAGATCAGTGAGGGAGGGGCACCTTCCTACAGGGTTGCAGTTCTATTTCTGAGCAAGACAAACAAGCCTATCTCTGTCCTACCTCTGGACAGGGACACTCAGTCCTGGTGGCCTGTTACAATCACCTGGGGCCTTTTAAAAAGCCCTGATGCCTGGGCCCTGATCCTGGTACCATCTTATTCAGTTGATTGGGGGAGGAGCCCAAGGGTTGGAGTTTTTTCAAGTGACCCATACAATTCTACTGTGTATCCAGGTTAGAGAACCTCTGCTTTAGAGCTCTAGGCCTTCTGCCCCCACCACTAAAACCTGCCCCTCCACACCCTCTCCCTCACCTCCAGATGCACAAAGGCACTGTTGGCCACATCCCTACCAGCCAGGACTTTTCACAATGGCCTGCATTTATTCATGCTTCTTCAGGGTTCCAGACTTCCCACTTCCCCATCTTTGTTTCACAAATTCTTCTCCATCCTTCAGACCCTAGCCTCATGCCATCTCCTCTCTAAAGCCTTCCCTGATTTCTGCAGACCAAACTAGCCGGTGTGCCTCTGAACCCCACTCCCACTTCTGTGCTGCTGCCTCTATGAGTGTGTCTGCCACCTGGTACTTCATCATCTCGATTCATCTGACTCTCAGTTAAACACAAAGCTTTTTGAGGACAGGAATGATCATGAATTAGCATACATTAACATATGTAGATGGTTGCTATTCAGTCATTCAGTTGTGTCCAACTCTATGTGATCCCATGGACTGCAGCACATCAGGCTTCCCTGTCCTTCACCGTCTCCGGGAGATTGCTCAAACTCATGTCCACTGAGTCAGTTGATGCCATCTAGCCATCTCATCCTCTGTCACCCGCTTGTCCTCCTGCCCTCAACCTTTCCCAGCATCAGGGTCTATTCCAATGAGTCAGATCTTTGCCTCAGATGGCCAAAGTATTGGAGATTCAGCTTCAGCATCAGTCCTTCCAATGAATACTCAAGGCTGATTCCTTTAGGATTGACTGGTTTGATCTCCTTGCTGTCCAAGGGACTCTCAAGAGCCTTTTCCAACATCATCATTTGAAAGCATCAGTTCTTTGCTGCTCAGCCTTTTCTTTATGGTCCAACTCTCACATCCGTACATGACTACTGGAAAAACCATGACTTTAACTATTAGGACCTTTGTTGGCAAACTAATGTCTCTGCTTTTTAATATGCTGTCTAAATTTGTTGTAGGTTATCTTCCAAGGAGCAAGCATCTTTTGATCTCATGACTGCAGTCACCATCTGCAGTGATTTTGGAGCCCAGGAAAATAAAGTCTTTCACTGTTCCCACTATTTCCCCATTTATTTGCCATGAAGTGATGGGACCAGATGCCATGATCCTAGTTTTTTGAATGTTTAAACCAACTATGTAGATGTTCTAATATAATTTATATAATTTAACATTAAAATTTGTGTATATTTTAATATATTCTATTTACTTACTGCTTTATTTCGTGTCTCCTATATGATGAATGACCTGAAGCCCAGGAATGTGATGTTGTATACGGCTACTGTCTTTCTTTTATATTCCCTATAGCACATCTGCCGCAAGAAAGTTCAATAAATTTCTGTGGAATGAGTGAACAGCTTTCTGACTGGGGAGAAACAGACAAGATAGCATGTGAATCAAGGTGTGGTGCAGACAATGTCATGTGTGCCCATTTCCCAGCGCCCCTGTGTAGTTAGGTTGGGTGGGTCCACGGGATGTGGCAGAAGTGATGTAAGCCACTTCCAGGCCTGGCCTGTGACACAGCCTGTGTGATTCTACACTTCTCTCTGCTTCTTCTCAGTGACCCCGGGGGCGGCACTGACACAGCCATGGAACACAGAAGGGCTGTTCCTACTCTCAGGAGTCTGAAAAGAGAGTGAGAAGGAAACCTTTTGTGCTTGACCTACAAGATTTGTGAATCAGTGTGTTACAGGAACAAAGTCTAGTTTATCCTGACTAATGTGGGATGATTTTGGCTACCAATAACAGCTCATGACTAAAAACTAGATAAAAATAGGAGTTTACTCGTTTTGTAATAAAACTTGCAGAGGTAGGTGGTTCCTGGGGTTGAGCAGGAGCTTGTCCACATTCAGAGGGACTCAGACCATTCCCATCCATCAGCCTGCCACCTTCAAGGAATCCACCACCCCTCCGCTCACACTGGCAAGCTGGCTTCCACGGTTGCTATTATCATATCCTTACATCACAGCACCGTGTCCTAAGCAGTAAACAAAAGGAAGAGGCAAAAGCACCCTCTCCTCATCTTTCCTTTTTTAGGAGAGAGCAAGGATTTTCCCAGAAGCCCCATCAGACTTTTCTTGATACCTCATTGGCCAGAACAAGGTCACCTGACCAACTCTGGCTGCAAGAAGAACTGAGAGGAAAGAATGAAGTATTTCCCTATTTTATCTCAGGAAGTGGGCTGTGCCAGGTGGGAACGGCTGGGTGTCTCTGCCTCCACACCAAGCCTGGGGAGACAGAAACTGTCTGAAGGAGCCAAGCCAAAGGTGGGAGGTTCACCTGCTTAGCATTAACTATGGCACATCCCGTGCAAGAACCTAATTAGTAATTGTAATTTATACCTGAGATTGTGATTTGGGGAGAGCACCAGGGGACTCATTGCTGCCTCTGAGAGGCAAGATACAAAGGCAGGATCATTTGTTTTATTTCTTCCTTCAAAAGATTCTTATGAGGCATGTCTTTTATGGCTACATACTCATTATATTTCAGATGCATTCAAGTATCCTTGATGTATTGCTAAGAGTCTGGATGAAGTTTTTTTTCCCCTCCAAAGCACTTGTGTACTTGTAGGTAAAACTGGGCAAGCTCAAGGTGTAGTGGGCTTTGCTCTCTTATAGGAAGTCTGGGTTGGGGAAACTCCTGTGACTATAGTAGCACTGATAAACCCTGTGGGCCAGGCCATTGGCACGTGGGCTAAAGAAATGGTCACACAGACACTGTGATTGAGGGGCCCCCCAGGGCCATGCTGCACCAGGAAAACCCCTCTTCCAGATCCCTAAGTCCAGCATGGAATCACCCCTTAGGTCAAAGCATTACTCCCCCTGAGTTTCCTGCAACGTTTGCTTAATGGAAGATGAAAGCCAGTGGGCTCCCTGCGGCTGCTAGGAGGAGAGCCAGGACAGATATCCAGCTTGTTGAAATACTGACACACTCCCCTTCCAGGCAGGGAAAGTCTGCCCTGAGTCCCTGAGTGCCCTTTCCTCATGCTGCCCCAGCCGCTCCCTTTAGGGCTCCCATCCTCCCTGTAACCCAGCAATCAGTGGGTTCACTTCTGATGTGACTGGGGTCCTTCAAGAGCCTTTAGCTCTGACTGGTCACCGCTCTTACTGGTCATTGACTAGCTTGACTGTCACTTCTAAATGCACTCCCAAGTGGTATATCTGAAGGCTCCATTTTTAGCTGAAAAAAAAAAAGGTAGCAAATATTACATGCTATGCCATAATTTGCCAGCAATTATTTTCATTTGAAAGCAAAGTTTCGAAATACTATCCACCAAATGAAAATGTTGGTCCAAGAAGGTGCACAATTGTCACCCTGTGGCTTTGGTCCTTCCAGCACAATTGCTGGGTGTGCCTGTGTAGTCGGGGAACCCAGCTGGAGAATCAGGGGGTTAAAGTGTTGTCGTCAGAACATCACTGCACAGTTGCACGTACAGCTCCTAGGAGGTGAAAACCAACTCCCTCAGTCCCCAGTCTGTACCCAAACCTTGTTTAAGACAAAACTGCAGGGGTACTCGCAGCCGGTTGGTTCCAGGGCACCAGCCTAACAGGGTCACTTCCCGCTCCTCCAATCTGCTCATGCCTTTCTGTCTCTTGCTGTTTCTGCCAGCGGGGCTGCTCTTTCCTTCAGCTCAGGCTTCAAAGTCAAGCTCAAAGCTACATCATCCCCCTCCAGAGCAGACCCCCAGGCTATAATCTCTTCTCCTTCCTTGTATTTTCTTTTCAAACCTATACTGTGGCTCACAATCCTTTCTATTCAGCATTAGAGTTATTTATATTGACCTTTTGAACTCGACTGTGAGCTCCTTAAGGGAGGGACCATACAGAGTTGAACTTTTTATTCTGCACGGTATTTAGTGCTGTACTAGACATAGTGTGAGCACGCAGAAAATGTTTGTTTAGTAACTAAAGGACAGCATTCACCTTTTACATATCGACATTGGTTAATTACATTTTCATTTCATGAGAGGATGGAGAAAGCATGAAAAGGCAAAGTGAAAGTCGCTCAGTTGTGTCTGACTCTTCTGCAGTCCTATCCATGGAATTCTCCAGGCCAGAATACTGGAGTAGATAGCCAGCTGTTCCCTTCTCCAGGGGATCTTCCCAACCCAGCGATCAAACCCAGGTCTCCGACATTGCAGGTGGATCCTTTACCAGCTGACCCACCAGGGAAGCCCAAGAATACTGGAGTGGACAGCTTATCCCTTCTCCAGTGGATCTTCCCGACCCAGGAATCAAATCAGGGTTTCCTGCATTGCAGGCGGATTCTTTACCAGTTGAGCTACCAGGGAAACCCCAGAGGGGCAGGCCATTTTGATGGGAAGGCAAGAAAACATTTAGGTGAAAGCGGGCCCCAAGATGACTCTGAGCCATCAGGAGGGTGAAGATGTGAGGGGCACCTTCCATCCATATCACAGGTCTGAAGAGACAGCTCAGTCCGAGTGTGGCTCCAGGGCCACAACACTTGGGTTCAGAGCCTGGCTCTCAGTGGGTGTGACCTTGAGAACTTAAGAGAACTCTTAACTCTCTGCGGTTCAGTTTTCTCATCTGTAAAACAGGGATGCTAGTAGTGCCTACTCCATTCATTTGTTTGAAAGGATTACTGAGTTAATACATGTAAAGCATTTGAACAATGACTCACCAATCATGCTCACTTGATATGTATCTGACTATTGTCGTATTCTCTGGATCTGTCCAAATCTCAGTATAGCCTAGACAAGCTGGGTCTCCCATGTTTTCATCCCCTTTTCCTTTGTGATATACAACACAGTCACCCAATCCCATTTTCCTTCACCTCCAGACCCATATATACATCAACTTGAGGATATTTTTAACATTCTCAGGTTAAGCGCACTGGACTTAGAGCTTTTGGAAGCCAAATTTCTCTGCTGACTGTGTAGGATGTTTTTGAAGTTAACCAAAAAAAGGCACATAAAAGATAAAGTTAGCTATATGTTCCAGTGCCCACCTTCTGCAAAATTTTTTTCCTTCCAGAAAATAATCCCTTCACTTTTGTTATGGTACTCAAACTTTTACACTTAGAAATTAATTCAGGGAATTCCTGGCGGTTCAGTGGTTGGAACTTGGCATAAGGCCTGGGTTCAACCCTTATTTAGGAAACTAAGATGCTATAAGCCTCAGGGTGTGACCAAAACAAAAGCAATTAATTCAATGTAATAGACATACTTTCATGAAAAAAAAAGGGGGGGGGAGAAAAGATTTTTATTTTTGTGAAAAGTCAGCAGTCCTTCACAATTTAGCATAAATTTGTTAAATCAGATTGCCTTTGTAACACTGAGACCAATCCACTTGGAAAACAGAGGGATGGGTGGATTGCGATTTAAAGCAGGAAAAGGCAATTTCAGAGCATATTCAGAAAGGACATGCCTGGGGGAATGTCCAGAGTAGAGTAGTAGAGGTGGGAATGGGTGAGGGGTGGCCCAAGTGTCATTAAAACAGGAAATTGGAGTCCAACAGCTAGATAAGGGCAGGGGAACAAAAGAAACATAAGAAGGAACTGAATAAATATTTTACAACAGAAAGTTTAGTCTAGTGGCTGCTTTGGATTTGAATGTAAGGCAGATGTTATAGCCTAAAGCGATCCATTCTTTCTAGCTGCACAGAGTAGGTGTTGCTATTCCGTCTTCAAAGCCAGAGGATTTGCAGAGCCGCGGCAGCTGACTCCTGAGCGCCTGCCCTCCCCACCCCACCCCTGCCCTGAAATGAGGGGAACAGTGCTGTCTCTGGTGCGCAGAGCCTATTCACTGCACGGACAGAACAAGCAGTTCCCCCAAACTTCACCCTACCCTGATCTCTGGGAGAGCGGACAATTCCAAATCCTCCTGCTCCATGTCTATAGAGAAAACATTTTTCTCAGCCAGTCTTGGTGACTCAAAGGCAGTCACTGGAATAAATTGCCCATCCGCCACCCCCAACTTCAGCTCTCACCATCCCCCGTTTTAACTTTTTTTTTAGTAAAGCAGCTTATTGGGTTTAGACAGATGACAACTCATCAGAGAATCAGAGAACTGAAAGGACCCTAAAAGAACATCTAGTCCAACCCTTTCATTTCACAGACAATGAAGCTAAGACTCAAAGAGGGAGATGGTTTCCCCACCGTCACAGAGCAAGCTGAGTGCGGAGCCACATGGAGAACCCAGAACTGCTGGCTCCAGGCTCCCCTCTGCCACCCTTCCAGTCTGCTTTTGTCATAGGGTGGAGAGTCCTAACTAGGGCTGGACTGGAGTGTCTGCCTATGAGCTGTGTCTTGTAAGGATACTGAAAGTTTCTCTGTCTCCAGTTGCCATCGCCTGCTGTAAGATGCTGGGTATAAGATGCTGTACTGGAAACCCCTTCACAGCCTAGTTCCAAAAGTATCACGGGATGCTTTGGGTTGAAAGTAATAGAAACCCTCACCTCAAGTACCCTCACCCAGGAAGATTAATGATGTCATTCCACCAGATGCCCCAGAGTGGAGCAACTGCCAAAGCTGATACGTTCTGTGGTTCAACTGTGCTTCTTCGAGATTCTCTGTCTCTTTCCAGCCCACCCTCTTCAGCATGTCGGAATAGCGCCCCCTCCTGGTTGTAAGTGACTGCCACAGTTCAAGAGGTCGTTTCTAACATGTTAACATCACAACCTAGAAGATAAGTCATTGCCTCTTGGATGTCTTTTTTTGTTACTGCGGATCCTTTTCCTCAAAGCCCTCCAGCAAAACTCTCTTCTCTCACTGGTCAGGGTTAGGTCGCATGCCCCCTTTCTGAACCAATGATTGGCCAGGGCAATGGGATTACCATCATTGATTTACACTAGTTGAAATTTACCCTACAGTCCTTGTAGGGAGCGGTAGACACCCAAACTAACTCAGAACTCTGCCAGTAAAGAACAAAAAGGATATCAGTGGGCAAGCATTTAAAAAGTGTCTGCCACATTCTCTCATCACCACCTGAGGAGTGAAGTGTACACAGCATGAACTCTGGAGCAAGAATGGCTGAATTCAACGCCCACCCCCCTCTGCTGCCTGCTAGCTGTGTGACCTCAGGCAAGTTGATCTGCCTCTCTGTGCCTCAAATTTCTTAGGGAATATAATAGCTTATAGTTCACAGGGTTACTATGAAGTCTATGTAAGGAAATGCATGTAAAATAGGCAAATATATATAATACACAAGAGACTGAACCACCACAAATGTTATATAGAGGTATCTGTTATTAGTTTCTTCCTAAATCTCTCCCCCACACTCACAACCCATACGCCTACCATCGCTGTCACGAGAGTCTCATCATTATTCCAGAACTGACCTGCATTTTTCAAAATTTGGGGCTTCACATATGCCAGCTCTTCCACTTATAAAGATAAACTTCCCACCATCTTTCCTGGTGACATTTAAGAGCCAGCTCAACGCCACCTCCGCCATAAACCTTTCCTGGTTGGCATTCATCTCTTTTCCTGCCCCACCTTCAGACTCTGTAAACTCCGGTGCTTCCACCCAGACTCCTGTAGATCTGCCTTGCTTTGTGGTCCAGATGGACGTGTCAGCCTCCGCCCTCCCCTAGACATGGCTCCTTTAAGGGCAGGAACCTACTCTAAACCTAGTCTTTGACCTCTCCTTAGGAAACGACTCAGTGCTCTGCATATAACGCATTCTCAGTAAATGTTTACTGAGTCAAATAGAATCGAATCAAAATATAGTCTCTGCCTTCGGGGAGTTTCCGGTCGGGTTGGGGAACAGGACAGACACACGTACAGCTGAGCATGTGAGCATTAGCACATCAGTGCGCCCCACGGACCTGGTGCTCCACTACACCAAACTCGGCCATTCCCTCAAGGAGTCGGGTTCCCTCACGCCTCCTTGCCTTTGCACATGCCATTTCCCTGCCTGGCAGTTCCTTCCTTGCCCCTAGAATCCTTTTGCATCTGACAGAGTCCTCTTCACCCTTCAACTCTGTGCTCCAGCATCGCCTCCTCTGTGAAGGGTACCCACTGCTGCCTGCTCTGAGACTTCTCTACTGTAGCACTCGGCACGTGCATCGCACCTACCTGCCTCTCCAGCCTGGGAGCTCCTGGATAGCCGGGACTGTACCCTCCCATCTCTGCATCCGGAGCCCAGTACAGGGCTTGACGAGTAGAAGATGCTCAATGCATCTTTGCCTAGTGGGTCCCAGGTAGCCCATGGACACTACAGTGGGATTTACATTGGCTGTCTTTGTCCCTGTCTCAGAGCAGCAGCCCTGGGGCTTTGGTAACAACTTAACAAGAGGCTGGGTTCTCAAGAGGGGCAGCCGGTCTGGGAAGCTGAGCTGAAGAAGCCGGCATCCTGGCCAAGGAGATAACATACAATTAGTGCAGTCCCTGAGAGGAGCGTGACAACACCTGCCCGAGCTCGCCTCCAGGGAGAGAAGCTTCACGTGGAGGGCTTCGTGGAGCAGGGATTACATGCTTTCCTGCATCAAGCGGCTGGCTGGGATAACAGGAAGTGATCTTCTTCTAAGGAGCATCCACTACAGGGCACAGCCGGACATCCATTGTGCCACCCTCTGGATTCTGGGTGTTTGTTTCCATGAATAATGTGTGTGTGTGTGTGTGTGTGCACGCCCACGCGCGCGCGCTAAGTTGCCCCAGTTGTGTCTGACTCTTTGTGACCCTATGGATATTATAGCCCATCAGACTCCTCTGTCCATGGGATTCTCCCAGCAAGAATACTGGAGTGGCTTGCCATGCTCTCCTCCAGGGGATCTTCTCAACCCAAGAATCAAACCTGCGTCTCTTACATCTCCTGCATTGGCAGGCAGGTTCTTAACCACTCGCACCACCTGGGAAGCCCAGAATAATGTCTGCTTTCTTGTAATCGTTGCTGTTGGCTTTTCATGGTAATGCCTTGCTTTACAGTTTCCTGAGTCCCCTCTCATTTCTTACCTCAGCCAAGACTCATATCAACTCCGCAGCAACTATGCTGCCCATATTCCAGATGAGAAAACTGAGTCTCAGAGGGCAGTCAGAAAGCTTTGCACAACAGCACACAGCTGGCGAGTGGAGGGACTCTGGATCCAAGCCTAGAGCTTGCATGAGCTGCTTTGGCTGGAAGGAGATTTGACAACTGAAGGTTTCTTTCTTTGTGTTTGAGTGAGATATTGTCTTACCACCAGTATCCATGGTCTCGGGGGCCACCAGGTCCCTACTCATTTGTCCATTAGTGTCTGTTGAAGTGTGAAGGGGGAAGAATGGGAATGTGGAATTACAAGGATGTTGTGGGGGAGGATGTGGTGTGTGTGTGCATTTGTACATGTGTGCGTGTGTGTACTGGGCTCAGAGGTGAACTTCCAGCATCCCTCATGCCTTAGGCACATTCAGTGGGGACAATGATGGTCCCTTCTGACTGCCTTTAGTGTCACACAGACTTCAAGGGCACAATCAGGGCCCATTCACACGTCAATTCATGCTCGAAGGGAACAGGAGGAACTGAAGCCGCAGTTCTGTTGTAACCTCTCATCATGTCACTCAACTCACCTTCTCCAGGAGGAATGGAGGGCTTCCTCTCTCACCACCCTGGACCACAGTGTCAGCAGACCCTCCCCCAAGAAGCCCTTTGTCTTCCAGTCCTTTCCCTTGTTCCGAGGGGCGGCACTGACATGCAGGAGTCCTCAGTGGCCCCCATCCAGCTTCTAAGCTGGCCCAGATGACAGCAATGTGGTTTCTGGGTGGCCGTGTTGGATCCGTGACCCCTGCCACCTGGAACAAGTCAGCTGATACGTTTTCATCTGTAAAAATCAGAGACATAATGTGTCATGAGAGGATGAAACATGGCGATGCTTCCCAGACTGTAGAAGCCCCTGGACACCAGTGTTAACCGGGCAGCCCTTAGCGGTTGCTAGCGCCTCCCAGAGGCCAGAGGTCCCACTGCAGCGCCTCGGCCTCTAGCCTGCCTTCCTCCAGCTCTGACTTCCCTCAGGTCCAGCAAGGTCTCCTTCCTTCTGCCTCCATCCACCTGTTAGGGAGGCAGAAGACAGCGCAAAGAGGGGCTCCCAATTCCATCTGGCACAGATGGAACAGTCCTGCTTTCCAGGTTCCCTGGAGAGGGGTGACTTTTCAGAACTCCCTTTGAGACAGCCATGTGAATTGAGCTCAAAAGCTGTTGCCAGGATGTGTGTTCTAGACCCTCCCTACTCAAAACCTTGCTCCGGGACCGGGAGATTTCACATCACACGGGGGTTGTTAGCATTGCAGAGTCTCAGCGGCTGCTCCAGAGTGACTATGGCAGTCTGCACTTGAACGAACCCCCAGATGATCCACGCACAGCATGAGAAGGGCTGGACTGGGAGAAGGAGAAGTAGCAGGAGGAGGAGTGGGGGAGATGATGCTGAAAGCAGCAAGGAACACTGGCCCAGCCTGGGGAGGATGCCTGTCTGCTGAGAGGGTGGGGCAGTGGGTTGAGTGACCGAGGGAGGCAGGAGAGAGTCGTAGGGGACGTTCTGCAGTAAAGACAGGGCTCTTGGCAGGGGACTGAGGAGGAGCTGGAGTTAACGGTCCCAGGTGCCTTCAGCCCAGAGTCTCCATTTGTGACAGGTCAGCCACGCTGGTCCTCTGGCCTCGGCAGTCTGTGCCTGTGGGCCTTGGTGTCAGGGAACCACTGGGCTCGGTGGTTCCTCCTCTTTGATTTTTTGGGAGAGTTTGAGAAGGATCAGTGTTCATTCTTCTTTAAATGTTTGGTGGTATTTACCAACGATGCTGGGAAAGACTGAAGGCAAGAGGAGAAGAAGGGGCCAGAGGATGAGATGGTTGACTAGCATCACTCAATTGACATGAACCTGGGCAAACTCTGGGAGATAGCGAGGGACAGGAAGGCCTGGCGTGCTGCAGTCCGTGGGGTCACAAAGAGTCAGACACGACTTAGTGACTGAACAACAACAGCAGAATTTACCGATGAAACATCTGGTCCTGGACTTTTCTCTACTGGAAGGATTTTTATTTTTTATTTATTTATTTTTAAAGTCTTTATTGAATTCATTACAGTATTGCTTCTTCTTTATGTTCTTTGTTTCTTTTTGGCCTCAAGGCATGTAGGATCTTAGCTCCGTGACCAGGGGTTGAACTCAACCCCCCTGCATTGGAATGTGAAGTCTTAACCACTTGACCACTAGGGAAGTCCCTATTAGACATTTTGTTTAAATGATTGATTTCATCTCTTCCCTTGTTGGGCTTCCTTCATAGCTCAGTTGGTAAAGAATCTGCCTGCAAGGCAGGAGACCCCAGTTCAATTCCTAGGTTGGGCAGATCCTCTGGAGAAGGGATAGGCTACCTACTCCAGTATTCTTGGGCTTCCGTTATGGCTCAGCTGGTAAAGAATCCTCCTGCAATGCGGGAGACCTGGGTTGGGAAGATCCCCTGGAGAATGGAAAGGTTACCCATTCCAGTATTCTGGCCTGGACAATTCCATGGACCATATAGTCCATGAGGTCGCAAAGAGTCGGACACGACTGAGCGACTTTCACTTCGCTTCACTCACTTCCCTTGTTAGAAGTCTATTCAGATTTTCTATTTCTCTTTGAGTCAGTTTTAGCAACTTGTGTATTTCTAGGAATTAGTCTGCTGGAACATTTCAACCTGGAAACCAAAATCCACCTTCCCTAAGCAGGTGGTAACAGGTAGATAAGGCCTAGGATTCCTGCTGCCAGGCTGGGCTGGTTCCCTGGTGTTCACCTTAGCCTGGCCCTGTCCTCACATCCAGAAACTTTGTGTCTTTATTTGGCCCCAGAGCAATGCAGGAACCTTGCTGACTGCCTTGTTTGGGACATAGGAGTTTCTTGCCGGAGTCCTCACCCCTATTATCTGTTGATGGGAGAGAGCCAGTTTACAGGGAAGTAGGAACCTTGGTCAAGTCAGCTACATTCCCTCAACTCTTTCCCTGCACCTGGGCTCCCAAATCCTGCCCCTGGGTATGAACTGGTGAGCATATCTGATTGTTCTGTAAGTGAGTAATTAAGAACTTTCCCAGGCAGTCTGTAACTGAACATACTGTCAGTAAGTACCCGGTGACCCGAGCTATCTTAGTAAAAGCTTTGTTGAAGAATAAAAGAAACCCACTGTGTTCGAAGACTCTTCTGCAGAGACAAATAAGCCCTAAAATCCCAGTGACTTAACACAACAGTCTTGATTTCTCTGTCACACACAAAGTCCCCTACAGGTCCAGGAACCCACCATGGTAACTCGCCCCAGACATAATCAGGACTGGGCTGTTCCCTCTCTGGCACTAACATCCCAGCATTGTCCACTTGCAGCCACAGGCTGGGAAAGAGGGTGCATGGAGCTCACACATGCAGAGTTCACTGCCCAAGAATGGAAATGACACATCCCATCTGCTCACCTTCTCATCAGCAAGAATCCGGTCACTTGGACCACTCTAATGACAAGGGAGGCTGGAAAGTGTGGCCTTAATAGGAGTTCACCTTTCAGGCCAGTTAAACAGAGAGAGGTTGGGAGATTATGGGGTGGTCCCTGGGATTTAGGGCAAGAAACCCAGCCAGGCTTCTCCCAGGACTGGGAGCAATCAACTAATGCTTTTGAACTGTGCTGCTGGAGAAGACTCTTGAGAGTCCCTTGGACTGCAAGGACATCAAACCTGTCAATCCTAAAGGAAATCAACCCTGAATATTCATTGGAAGGACTGGTGCTGAAGCTGAAGCTCCAATACTTTGACTACCTGATGCAAAGAGATGACTCATTGGAAAAGACCCTGGTGCTGGGAAAGATTGAAGGCAGGAGGAGAAGGGCACAACAGAGAATAACATGGTTATATAGCATCACTGACTCAATGGACATGAATCTGAGCAAACTCTTGGAGATGGTGAAGGACAGAGGAGCCTGGTGTGCTGCAGTCCATGGAGTAGCAAAAAGTCAGATACAACTTAGCAACTGAACAACAAATGATGTGCATCACTGTTCAGGGAAGATCGTCTATCCCTCTCCAGGGCCACTCATAGGTCTCTTTTCTCTAGGATGACCAGCTCATCCTGATTTGCCTGAGACCTGATTCTAGCACTGACAGTCCTGTGTCCTCGGGGACTCCTTGGTCCTGAATAAACCATACCTCAGTGGTCACCCCACATTTTCACATGCCACCTTCAGTTTTCAGTTTTTCTCTTCTGATTGAATTCCTCTAGATCCGACCACTAACCTGATGCATATCCTAGTTCCCAATTTTCAGGAGGGAAAAATCGATTGCTCTATCTTAGATGTGACACCCACCCCAGTTGGGTAGAATAATCCTGGTCATCTGGGTTCATCTGTTTACATGAAGGGACAAGGCAGAAAAGGGGAAGTATGACCCATCTGGAACTTTCCACTGTTTAACCATATAAAAGACAAGAATAGAAGAGGACTGTAATCGTTCTGCCAAAGGACAGTGCACCTGGGATTGCAACTCTCCCTGGCCCCTCCTCTGAAGGCTGGTGCACAACCATCCCTGAGCTGGCGAAGGTGATAGGCAGAAATTCAGACCCTCCAAGATCCCCATGCACTGCTGTCCGTGCCCTCCGCTTGATGGCAGGTCAGACCTGGAAATAGGATGAGATAGTCACTCGGGTGATTAGGTCACTTTATCCAGCTAAATTAATCAGACACTCACTTAGACAGTTACTGTTACTTTATGTAAGACTGTGGTAGCAGGCTGGAGAGAGGCTGTCCCACTGGATTCGAAGAATGAAACTGTGCTGTTGTGAAAGACCCATGTGGCCAGGACCGAGGGCAGCCTCTAAGAGCTGAGCGTGACCCCCAACTGACAGCCAGCAAGAAAACAGGGACCCCAGTCATAAGAGGGCCTGCCAGGAACCTGATTCTGCCAACAATCTGAATGAGCTTCATCCCTGCCTCACCGCTTGATCTCAGTCTGTTGAGACCCTAAACAGAGAAGTCAGCTATGGCACTGTGCCTGGACTTCCAACATAAAGAGACTATGAGATAATAAAGTCATGTTTTTTTAAGTTATGAAATTCATGGTAATGTGTTGCACAACAATAGAAAACTAGCGTATCTAACTTAGGAAAGAATCAGTGGGGCACCAGGCACAAAGTTTCAAATGTTCGGTTTCAAATCAAGTGTCTACATGAACAAAATGTTAGAAAGGCCCCATTTAACTGCTTTATTCCAGAGTTCACCTCTCCAGGGTCACTACATTCCCTACCAACCAACCAACCTTCACAGGTCTGGTCTGGGGCCAAGAGAGCTATCCACCCCATGGGGACATTGAAGGGAAATGGGAAGCCATCCAGTTCAGGAAAAGAAGAGCATAATGCTGGTTTCACATTAAACATTTGGATTTACGTAAAGGATTAATAACAACCAGTTGGCAAGGGGGACAGGAATCCAGCACTCCCATCCATCCTTAATATGAGTATAAATTGGATCAGCTTTTCAGAGTACAATTTGGCAAGATCTATGAAATTGCAAAATGTACCTATCCTTTAATCCAGCAATGCCTCTTTTAAGAATTTGCCCTACAGAAATTTTAGCACAGAGCCCAATTATATATGTACAAGGATGTTCACTGCAGCATTGTTTGCATTAGAAAAAAACTGATAATAACATACATGCCTATCAATAAGCAACTGGTTAAATAAATCGTGACACATTCACACTGGAATACTATTCAGTCATTGAAAAAAAAACGAGGTTCACTTATATGTGGTGACATTTCCATGTCGTATCTATGATATACTGTTAAGAAGAAAAAGCAAGTTACAGACGCTAGGTATAGTATATCATTTTGGTTCAAAGTAATTACATATTTATATGTTAAAATATGCATAGAAAAAATGGAAAATATAAACCAAATTTTTAAGAACAGTTATTTCTTGAATTATGGGGAAATTTCTGTTTTATATACACTTCTGAATTATGTTATATGATGGGGAACTTTCTGTATTATACATTTCTGTATTGTTAGAAAAATTTACTATGTGCATTTGTTAATTTTATAATAAAGCAAGACAACAAATATGCTTTCAAAAATTGGATTAAATACCTCTAGATCCTTTATATACCATCTGAGAAACTGATGCAGGCCAGTTAGACCATAAAGCTCACAGTCCGTACGAGGCTTACCACGGGCCTGGAGAGCAGTCAGTGGGTACCCAGAGGTCCTCCACAAGGACCCATGTGCAGTGAAGAATTAAATTTACCTAAGAAGAGATCTGGGATTCCGAGGTGGCGCTAGTGGTAAAGAACCTGCCTGCCAATTCTTGGTTAGACGTAAGAGACATGGATGGGTTCAATCCCTCGGTCAGGAAGACCCCCTGAAGGAGGGCATAGCAACCCACCCCAGTATTCTTGCCTGGAGAAGCCCATGGACAGTGGAGCCTGGCGGGCTACAGTCCATAGGGTCGCAAAGAGTTGGACACGACAGAAGCAACTTAGCACACACACACATGAGGAGAGATCTGGCCTTTGCCCTCAGCTACTAGAAGAGGATCTCTAGGTCCTTGGAATGGAATGTGTGCCATCAGTGCCTTTCTTTGCTGGGGCAAAGGGATTTCCCTAGTGGTCCAGTGGTTAAGACACTGCACTTCCAAAGGAAGAGGTTCAGATTCCATCCCTGGTTGGAAAAATAAGATTTCCCTATTTCGCATGGTTGTTGTTGTTCAGTCACCAAGTCGTGTCTGACTCTTTGCAACCTCATGGACTGAAGCACACCAGGCTTCCCTGTCCCTCACCATCTCTCAGAATTTGCCAAGTTCACATCCATTTAGTCGGTGATGCCATCCAACCATCTCATCCTCTGTCGTCTCCTTCTCCTCCTGCCCACCATGTTTCCCAGCATCAGGGTCTTTTCCAATGAGTCGGTTTTTCACATCAAAGTGCAGCCAGAAAACAAAACAAAAGATTCAGGTTTGATAATTCAATTATTCTTTGTTGGGGTTTTGCCCACTGGGCAGCTCTTGGCCACTGGACAGATTTATGATGGGGGGCCCTGGGCCATATGGTATCAGATCTACCTCCAGAAAAGTCCAAAAACTAAAGGTCTGCCTCACAGGCAGTGTGTAATGGAACCCCATTAAAATTCTGGACCCCATGGTCTCAGGTGAACTTCCCTGGTTGGCATTATTCCAAGTGTATCATCACACGTCCATGGCAAAAAAGTAGTGCTTTATAGGGACAGCACATTGAAAGGTCCAAATGTGGTACCTTTCCTGGACTCCATACTTTCCTCATGGCTGATTTAAATCTGTATCCTTTCCTTTAATGAACTATAACCTTAAGCATCACGGCTTTCAGTGAATTCTCTGAGTTTATCCAGAAAATCATCAAACCTGAGAGTGGTTTGGGAACCTTTCCTAGGTCAGAAGAAGCAAGAGGAGAAAGCAGTTACTAGAATCTGGAGAGATGTGCTTATACTTAGGAGAAGTGGGAGCTGTGGCCTTGGGCAGAGGAATGCAGATCCTGCCAGCCTACAGCCCAGCAGGAAGGAAACCACAAGAATGAAAGCCTCAGCCTGTCCCCTCTCACCTCTTGTCTCCCTCCTCTGAACGTTGACCAAACCCAACATAAGAGAGAGGGCAGGCCGTCCAGGTGGTGTAGTCTACACAGGCAAGCCTGCAGGGCACAGGGCAGGGTGGCGGAGGATGGAGAGGGGACTGGAAGCAGAAATGAGGACGTTCAGCACAGCAGGACCACACTATCTTGCTCACTCACCCCTGAGTCCTTAGTGTATAGCCTAGTTCCTAGCACCAAGTTAGTACTTAAACAACCTTTCCTAGGTCAGAAGAAGCAAGAGGAGAAAGCAGTTACTAGAATCTGGAGAGATGTGCTTATACTTAGGAGAAGTGGGAGCTGTGGCCTTGGGCAGAGGAATGCAGATCCTGCCAGCCTACAGCCCAGCAGGAAGGAAACCACAAGAATGAAAGCCTCAGCCTGTCTCCTCTCACCTCTTGTCTCCCTCCTCTGAACATTGACCAAACCCAACATAAGAGAGAGGGCAGGCCGTCCAGGTGGTGTAGTCTACACAGGCAAGCCTGCAGGGCACAGGGCAGGGTGGCGGAGGATGGAGAGGGGACTGGAAGCAGAAATGAGGACGTTCAGCACAGCAGGACCACACTATCTTGCTCACTCACCCCTGAGTCCTTAGTGTATAGCCTAGTTCCTAGCACCAAGTTAGTACTTAAACCATATTGCTGTTGAGTGAAGGAATGAACCCATGAAGGAATAAATTCCTCCCTCACCTAGAGCTCAGGGATATTGGATGATCAAATGAGACCAGGTACATGAAAATATTCTGTGAACCATCAAGTTGCAAATACATAGAAAAGATTATCATCTTACTCTGATTCTTCTTCCATTTATGAGATCAATCTATGAAACACAATCAGAGCTTTTAGGAGCTAACTGGCTACATTTACCCTCGTGACCAGAGCGCCTGCCCCTGAGAGCCCTGTTGATCTGAGCAACTGGACCAACTGAGGCATCTCTGCAGAACAAACTCACCCTCTGTCCAGGAGTAGCTTCTGGGGAGAGAACAACTTCACCACAAGGGCACTTATGTTTCCTTTGCTCAGTTGAAAATAAAATAATGACATTTTCCAGCAACAAGATGCTCCCTGTCATACCTGGTGACTAAAGGTTTATTGCGACTTTATTAAAATATATGAGATAAATTGAAGAGCCATGCTCTCCAGCCAGCTGATGGAGCCACTGCCTGCCTGTAGATGCTTTGGGTTTTGTATTAAGAAAGTTGTCACAAGTAATTTGGACCGGAGCATGTAGTTATAGACTGCCAAATGTTGATTAATTAAGCCGATGTTTGGATTAGTTCTGCCTGATAGTTTCATTAGGAAAAAATGACTGAAAATGTGGAATAAAGGAGCAAGGGAGGAAAAGAAAGCATCATCCCACAGTGAGACTTAATACAAGGCGATTCACCCTATATTCATGGATGTGTGCATGTGGATACACATGGGTGTGTCTTTTCAAGTGTTCCAGCAAAGGATGAGTCCATGACTGCAAGAATTACAAGTAGTTAATATGAATTCTACCCTTAGACTCCTTCAGCTCCTATTCTGATACCACCATGGACCTTGAACTCCCTGTGTAACCACTTCCACAGTGAACTCAATGTTCATTGAACCTTTAGCCTCTGAGCCAGAGGCTCCCAGCCTTCTGTGCTAATCATCCATGAAAGCCTGAGGGTAGTCAGGCAAAGCCTGACAGGGAAGACTAGGGGTCCATGTCACCCACCCAGAAGCTGGCAGAAATGCTGGGTAAAGGGCAAGACTCTCAGAGAGACAGGAAGATACTTTTCCCCAGTCTCAAAGGAGGCAACGTTGATGAAAATGTGAGCTGACCTCAAATGTCATGGTGCTTTTAGGAAATTGTATTTGAGTTAATCCCTAGCCCATAGTATGAAGGATGAGCATTTTTAGGAGTTTATAAGGATGCCTGTGGTGTTTTGCCCTCATAAATTCATTCATGCAAGCATTAACAGCAAGCATTAATATTCAGCCCTGAGCTGTTCAACTCACAAGAGGAGCAAAAGACATAGCCCTTGCCCTCAAAAATCTTCAAT